CATTCCCCAATCAAGAATAACATTAATTATCATATTATATTATGTTCAGCTAGTGCAATTATAGTATTAGCTACTAGTTTTATGATTAGTTATTCAATATTGTTATTTTCTCCAATTTATACCAAAGTTTATTGTTATTTTCTGCAATTCATGTTAATTTTTCGTGGAATGTTGATGCTACTTATGTTAAGTTTATTGTTATTTCTCCCCATCTTTTTAGTATGTGTATAAAATTGCTTAATAATTCATTCTATTGAACAAGCAATATAACTAATAGAAATTGGGCTCCCACCATATTGACATGTCTTTGGATGATACAAATATATATCTAATAGAAATTGGGCTCCCATCATATTAACATCTAGTTGTATGCTTTCAAATCACAATGTACATTCTAGCATTGATATTTTTTTATGGTCGAACTTCTAAAATCATCTAGTGAACGAAGAACTCATTATGTACTTCAATTATTAGGTCTTCTAAAGTTTCGAGTTTGTGTTGAATCCATCCCATTTTTTGGTCAACTTTAGCTATTCAATTGCTACAAGCAATTGTTAAAAAAAAATAGTAATTAGAATTGAAAATAAAAGATTTGGTGGTTGATAAATTGGTAAGATTTGCAATCATTTTTGACTTTGCTATATTTACCTATGTCATTAGTGACATAGGCATGATTTTATCCTTCTATAAACAGAGCATTCTTGCTCATTTGTAGAACACACCAAATTAGAGAGAAAAAACCATTTTGAGAGTAAAGTGATGTATTCCATAGACTATACAAGAAAAATAGTCTGTGAAGAAAAATAGAGTATGAATGATATTTTAGTAAGGTGGAAACCAAAAGAGTGTTGTTCCTTTTGAGTGTGTAGTATCACTTTGAGTATTGTATTCGTAATTACACTATGTAAAATTCCTTACTACAGTGATATCAGTTGCTCCTCTTGGCCCGTGGTTTTTTCTCTTATTGAGAAGGGTTTCCACGTAAATTTCTTGGTATCGTTATTTTTCCATTTTATTTCCATTACTTTTACCATATATATTTTTGTGTTTATCCGCGTTTTTCCTACAGTTTGAGAGGTTTTCCTTCACCTTTACCAAAATTAGTGGAACATCGTTAAGGTCTCCGTTATGTCTTTGTTAAAATTGTTTTATCCGAAAGAACTATCCAACATCAATTAACCAAACCTAATACATCTTATACCTAAAATAAATAAATGTGACTATTTCACAACAGTAGAAAAACGCATTAAATTATGTATTTATATCTAAAAAGTGGTAACAAAAATAATTGTTGCTCGCATCAAAACCTTCCTAAGTACACTCATTAATTAGTCCAACATAATATAGCTTCCTTAAAAATCATCATGTCTTGAACAATGCAATTATACTTCAAGAAATATTGGACTAACTTCAAAAGAAAAAAAAATTGCCTAGAATCAAATATTAATTGAACTTGATGTAGAAAAATCATGATGCCTAAATCATACTTCAATAGTATTAAAGCTTTTAATTTTCCTGATCTGTTAATTCAAAAGACATACTTAATTTCAGACAATCCTGAAGAATTAGGCCAAGGAACTTGAACTATGATCATATGATCTTCGTAACTAAACTCAACAGAGACTCCATCGATCATACACGATGACGGCTTCTCAGAGGCAAACACCCTCATTTCACCACTCCCTCTCGCTCCAATGCTTACTGAACTTTCTTCCTCCTCATCGTAGACAAGAGAGTCGATTGCACCACCAGAATTGAGCATGTTCACCAATCCAATTGGGGCAAACTGCACTGATTTTTTCGACAACACAGCTACAGGAGCGACTGTTAAGAGCTCATACTCGAAAGGCTGAAGTGTAATCTCCACACTTTCAGATAATTTTAAGAGCTTTAGTTTCTTCTGTCTATACATATACACCGCGAAAATGTTCACTCCTTCCACACTTGCTGGATTTGTTCCATTGCTCCATTCAACATCTCTGGGAGTAGCCAAACATGTCACTGCTACTGAATACTCATTCGCGCTTTTATTTTTCCTTGAAACAGGGCACCATCCTCCTCCTTGACAGTTAAATGCTCCAAGAACTCCGGTAAACTATAGTCATTACAACCAGAATAACACAATAAGATAAAATTTTGATCGTACAAATTATCATAATGCATGCATTGCATTGGTAATAAGATTGATGCTTACTTTATTAAGGTTCCAAATCTTGAGCATGGTTTTTCCATCATGTAAAGGGTCTTCAAACAGGCAATCTTTAGTTGGTAGTGCATAATGTTGGCAACGAAGAATCGAACCATCAGGCAAGGCCAATGTCTTCAGCAACTGGAAGTTGTGTTTCCCAACTGAGTCGCTAACATATACTGGTCCTCCTGAGATGGCTCGAGAGGCGGCATGAAACTCAGCACAAGGGTGAGTAGATTGAAACATGTCCCAATCAGGGTGGATGAAATTTCCCATCCACAGACTATTGTAAGCACAATGTACCATGTGACATCCTTGCAGCCAAAATGTCCCATTGGGATCCCCAGATGGATCGGTGCACCAAAAATCATCTCCTGCAAGCATCAAATATTATGATTAGATCAATCAAACAATTCAACAGTAAGAGTTACAAATTAAGGCTCGAGACATACCTACGCGTCCAAGAGCAATAGTCTCTGTCCCAAGGTACATAAAGTCATTGCAATGTTCCATGCTAGCAATCACGCCGTTCCCTTTAAAGTGTTTCCTTATTGAAGCAGTTAAGGCTTTATAGTATGCTTTAGCAAGTTCCACTCTTCCTCCATAATCTTCGGATAACATCTCCAGCAACTGCTTCCACAAGAAATTGAATATGAACTTCTTAACATTAGTCAAGCAGATAGTAATGAAAAGACAAAAAAAGATTAGCATTTTTTCGAATTTATGAAGTTTCGAGAACTTACATGAATTACATCCACCTTGACTCCATCAATTCCAGCTGATTCAAGATGTGAATGCAATCCTTCATACATTTCATGAACCTTTTCCGGTGGAACCAGTCCAACTCCATTGTTCACAATCTTGTCCACAGCCAAATCCTCCATAGTCATCTGCAAACCTGGTGACAGCTTAGGACTAATGACCTTACAATCCGGCATGTTTGGTATATTAGGCCTAATCCCACCCCAGTACCCACACAACGCGTGCCACACGTAAACATGCTCAACGCTCTTAAATTCGTCCTTTAAGTCCTTCACAAATGCCTTCATCCCCTTCCCCTTTCCCTTTGGAGTACTCTCATAGTTCCTAAATTTATAGTTCTCTTCAAATTTTATCAACCTACACGGCATCTGTTCACCAGCATCAGTCCTGTTGGTTCCTTCTTGATCATCAGTTACCGGATCATCATCGTGACAAATCGATTGCCATCCATCATCAATTAAGACTAATCCTGGAGGGCAACCACCCTCTACTAGGTCCTTAACCCCTTCCATTACCCCTTGTGGATTTACCTTAAGGTAAAAAGCATCCCAAGTACACCAACCAAATTTATCTACTATACCTGGAAGTGACTTCTCTTCAAGCAACTTGAAAGTCCCTAAATGTAATCTTATAATCTTCATAGCATTCTTCACCATTTCGTAGGGGTCATTCCCTACGTGCATATAAATGCAAGTTCGAAACCTGGTTTCGCGAACTTTACTTGATCCACTCTCCACACAGACGTCCAAATAGTCGTCGTTTCCAGGCTGGGACGAGGCTCTGAAGGAACCTTCTAGAATAGGAAGTATTAGAACATAAGGACGAAGTCCGTTTTCAGATTTGTCTAAGATTAACATTTGAGTCTCATGTTGGATATCTCTACCGTTTTTGCCTACCCAATGTGTGGTCCACCATACTTTAAATCTGAATAGGCTCATGAATTTTATGTCCCTGAGCTTGCCAATTGGAACCACATGATGGCTTCGGGCCTCGTCGGAGTCAAATCCGACGAAGCAACCGAAGGTAAAATCTTTGGAAATGAATTGTGATGGAGTGAAAATGATGTTAGCAGGAACATGAGTAAGTATAGGATAGCCATTGGCTAAAAACTCAGAGCCCTGAAGCGTGATGGATAAAGGCTTTGTGTTATCATCTATTAGCCCAGCTGTCACTTGTGAGGCATTCTTGTTCAAGCTTGGAGCCATTAGAAACAGAGGAATTTAAAGGAGTTTTTAAGATACGAAGCAAGTGAGATGATAAATGCTTGTATACAAAAACTGTATATATAGACAATTTTCTCACCCACTTTTGCTCCAGAAGTGTGTGTAAGAGTGGAAGAATTAAAGATAATACTGGAAAAGAAGTGAAAAATAGTTGGAGCACTAGTTATTAAGTTATGGTTGGGAACAGTTGGTTGATGAACTGAAAATTTGGCATGTAATATCACACATTAAAAAAAAATCCGTTCTTTCGAGACCTTTTATTTGATTTCTCTAGATGTTTCAATGGGCCATCACTTGCTTTTAGTGGACAATTATGTTTCTTCGCATTTTCTGATATAATTGCATCAACAAATGAAGTCAAAAATAAGTAAACACAAGACAAAAGGCATGCAATCATGCATGGTTCCTCTGTAGAGAGAACAGATCAAACCTTTTTCAAGATTTTATTCGTCTTATAACCAAACAATTTAATTTGTATCTATAGAACCTGCTAAAACTAGTACTTATTTTTAACACAGAGATTGTCAATGATCTGTTACATAACTTTTCGGTCCTACTGTATTACTCCCTATATACTTCATGCTCGTTAGTCAGTAGATGTTTGTTATTGCATTAGGATTGATAAGATAAGATCTACGTCTCCATTATTTGTATTTATCCCTATTGAGATTTTATTTGCTTTGTCTAGTGGTAAATTTGAAAAAGAAAATAAAAGAAAATTGCCTCTACCGTCACGATGGATTGGGCTATTTTGTGAAATATGAGTCCAACTAACTTATTATTCCATGGACCTTTTATGGGCCTGAAACAGTATTCCCTTTTGCTGTTGTTCCTATGGCAGAACCCCCAAAAGTGTGGTTATTTACAACTAGAATTCAAACTTTTTAACCATTGAAACTCCATTGTTTTTGTAGATTCTGAAGTTAACAAATTCACCATATTGATCTGCAAAGCTTAGTGATGGCGGGAACCGAGAAAGAGAAACTGGAGCTGCACGAATCCGATAATCAGTTCGTTTGGGATGAAACTTCTCAGCTTTACTACCATGCTCGGTGCGATTTTCTTTGTTAATTTAATTTACTTGCTTGACATTTTCTGTATTCCTCTTTTCGCGGAATTAGGGCTTGAATTTAATCTGAGTTTTCATAAAATTTGGAGTTCTTTCAGCAATTATATTAATTACTTATTTGAGATCAATCGTTCTTTTGTAGCACTGGATTTTATCATGATCCTAAAGCAGGCTGGTACTACAGCTGTAATGATGGCCTTTACTACAAATTTGATAATGGTACTTATGTACCCATGGATTCTTCTCAGGTAGAGTGTTTTTTTTTTTGCTTTCAAATTTACAGCATTTAAATGTTAGCGTAGTTGATTTTTGGTTTGAGTTATGTTAAGCTAGTTTATTATTGTACATCAGGATGGTGGTTGTCGTGAAATGAATAGTTGTGAGAGCGTTGCGCCTGTGGAGTCTAACAAAGATGAGGTAGATGCAGACATAAGTATGTCAGGTGAAAATGTGGCTCAAGCAGTGGAACCACTTTGTACTGAGTTCTCTGAAGGTGAATAAGTTTACCAGCCTGTCTATTGTGATAGAAGATAGGATGTGTTTGTGATGAAGTTGTTGCTGCAGTGTATATATTTTGTTTCCCCCTTAGAGTTCTATCCAGACCTAATCCTTTTAGCTTTGGGTGATCGAAACATTTTGTTGTAACTTGATGGGTCAAGTAATCTAAACAAAAGTGGATCCAAGATTCTATGTTTATGGCTTGGACAAAAGCTATTAGGTTTTAGTGAACCCATAACTTTAATGGTAGCTCCGACACTCTATCTAAAATATATAGATGTGGAACCTTTCTTCTGTTCCCTATATTTTGGTTGGTGAAATACTTTTCATGTCCATCTGAATTTAAATGAATTGCAGCAGTTTCTTGTGAGTTTAGCTGGCTGAGTAATTATCGAATCAGTTTTGCTCATGTTTGCTGATCTATTTAACTTGTGAAAACTGAGAAGTGTTTCATCATGGATGTAAGATATTTATTCATGCAATTTCTTCACTTATGATATCCATTATTTATTATCTCATTATTGAGCCCCTCTAGCCGTCAGTCTTTTGTCACCACCAGTAATGTTCTCACCCCAAGTATAATGGTTGTCCTTCGAATTGCTTCATACTTTCAGTAGAGAAATATTTGGGTGTAGTAATTGTTATTTTGATAATTCAGAAGTCATTTGCTCTTGACAGTCGCTTACTTTTCTATTTTACTCTAAGTAGAGCACTTGGAGGATACCAGTTGCAAGCTTCCAGAAAACCCACCACCACCTTCAGAGTGGTAAAGACTCTGTTTTTTTTTATCTTGTACTTTTGTTCTTGTAGTTATTTTTCTTTTCCAACGCTGTAATACATCTACTTTCAGGCTCGAAGATACTCTCATTGAACTTTATCTGGCAAATTATACCACTCAAGCTGCCAATACTACTTCAGATATAACAGTGGCTCCGGAAATAAATGACACAGATCACACACATTTGTCAGCAGTTGGTTGGTTTAAAGTTCCTATTTTCTTAAAATATGATTAGATTTACAGCATTGCAAGTCATTCTACCTTGACGGTGCAGGGAATGACAACACATATGAACTCGAGGAAGGTGAATGGATACCAGACGATTGGACGGATTCTGCTGATCCAATTGTAGATGTCATGGATGATGGTTAGTATTGATTATGATACTTGTCTCACTTGGCATTAAGACGTTAGTGTTGAAAATATTGATATGACACCAGAAAGGCAGAAAGCATATGGACATTTCACCAAACTATTAGGAGTTCAAATGGGAAAAATCCTTGTACTGTAATTGCTTCCTTTTCTTTTCTCTTCATCTAGCATATTGTCTACTGATTTTTCTAGTTTTTCTTGTTGCTATCTACACCTCTACCCTCCCCAGCTACTTAGTGGGACTACACTGGGAATGTTGTTGTTGCTGCCTCTCTCTTATTTTCTTTTGGTAGTTCGAATAAAGTGAGAATTAAGTTGAAGAAAAATCTTTCTTTGACTACCTCATGAATTCCTCTATTCTGTAACTCATTCTAAAAAGATGAAATAGGCTCCTAGCTCAGTGATAAAAGGAAGGAAGGATTAAAGATTTGGCGATTTTGAAATACATATGCTCCTTATTTTGAATGTTTTCATTTTCATGTTTTTTTGGATGCATAAAATTGACTGAAGTTCCCTCACAACAGGCATTTGTTTGGAGGAAGAGAACTGGCGAGCCCAGTATGGTCAAGTTGAACGACCAGTTGAGGATTCTCTGTCACATATTCAGGCTGTTGATTTGTGGGACTGGTCAATGGTTAAAAAGATCAGAAAAGGTCGAAAAAGAAGGGTGGCCAGGCTGGTAGGACGACTGGTGAAGCCCACTGCTAAGCTGCACCCATCAATGCCCTCGAGTGGCCATCTTCTTAAAACTGCCCCAGTATGTGAAGTCCATCTTGATCTGGTACGAGTTACATCAGGTTTGCATTGTCAAACTTTCATTTACAGGGGAACTTCTGCATCCTATCTGTTTACACAGATCAGTTATTGTTAACATGACCCGTTTTAGTTGAGGTTTATAAAATGCTCAGTGAACTGTTGTGACTTACTGTAAAAAAATAAATTTGCGTAATTCCCTTTTCTATGTCTATCTATTCAATCTGTGATCTTTTCATTACATATGCCAGAAACTTCCTTCTTTATTTGTTACAACTGAGCAAACTCATGCCTCCCTGGTGACTTCCCTGCAAACCTAAATGGCCAATACTTTCTTTGCTTGTTTCGACCGTCAGCATTTATGCATTCACATTCATTCATGGTCAGACCTACTCAGAATACTGCCAGATTAGACATGCATATTTTGAGATGAAGTCATGTAAGCTACAGTATGTGTATAGACAGTAACAGAGATGTAATGAGGCAAAACATTAGAGGAACAGGGATTTCCAACTTCTGAAACATCCATAACTCTCTTTATTCCGTTCAATCCTCCGCATCAGAATATTGTAGAACCTCAATGGCTTATACATGAGAAGATGTTTGGTTTCATTTTTTGAGTATGAGATTTTAGTTTGCATAGGCCATCCTTATTCTATCCATGTTGGCATTCATTCAAAATGTTTACTTACTACAGGTCAGGTGTACAGGTTGAAAAATCCTAGCACACAATATTTGGCTTCTTTGTCAAATTATGATTCTTCCAATCCAACGAAAAATTGGCGCTTTCCTCAAATGTCAATCAACAGAGAAATCCAGACATGCTCACCGGTCACTGAAAGATATAAACCCATAAGCACAACACTTCCTGGTGAGGAGGATGTATCTCTGCAATCGGAGATCAGTGCACCTGAAAAGGTAGTCTACGTCCACTTTATGTTTCAAGAACTTATACAATTTTTTTACTTGGAGATGATTTGGGTTATTGGTCATTAGCGATAAAGTTTCTATATGCAGTCAATTAGGGTGAGTTCTTTAGCAGATTTAGAATCTTAACACTTCTCTAAAAAACGGCACTAGAAAATTTGCTAACTGGGAAATGTAACAAATTGTGTTGAAGTATTTAGAAGGTGAACACAACTAAAAGATAAAGATAAAAAGGCATGCCAGTTTAGCAAACAAACAGCATAGATTGAACCATCTTAGACAATACTGCTAGTTGTGCGCTGTGTTTGGATCTGTGATTATTTCGTTCTCTTAAGTGATAAAATAATCAATTGAAGACAATGGAAGGATAGCCTAGTGGTAAGGACCCTCCACCTCCAGCATAAGGTTATAAGCTCGAGTCACGAGGGAACAAAGTGGGAAGGGCCACTATTGAGCTTCTGGATGGAGGAGCTTTTGTTCAGGTTTGGAGGAATTCTACCATGTAAGGAAAAAATAATTGAATCATCTCTAAAGAAAACCTTTAATTTTATTGGAGAGATGCTTTCTCCTATTTAGATGGACATGCACAAGGATCTACAATCTCTTACCTATCTATTAAATTGTGTGATTATGCCATTCCAGGACAGAGACCATCTGTACAGGGACAGAGCTGCAGAAAGAAGAGCATTGCATGGTGGGTTTGGCGTTGGTCCAGGTCAAAAAATTTCATCCAACTCTGATGATTCTGTTTCTTTGGAGGCATCTGCTGGTCCAGAGGAAGCTCTTTCCGAATCCTTGAGCAATTCATTTGGAGCTGGTAGCTATGCCAGAAGAATGTTGGAAAACATGGGCTGGAAGGAGGTACAGTTTAAACTTTCACGACTTTAAGAATGATAGTTTTAGCTACAAGTGTCACCTATCTAGACTTGTAAAACTCTGAATATTTCCATATTGATGGCCCATCTCTAGGTGTCCATTGGATCTTTTCACTCAGGTGTGAAGGGAAATTTGTCCTCCTTTCATTACTAGATCGTTGTAATAATTTTAATGTTATTAGAATCCATCTTTTCTCGAGAAGGAAATGTTCACCGCATCTATACTCGGACATTCCTAGATTATCTTATACGAGTAGTTTCATGGTTGTGTTGTTTTGAAAGATTAGTTCACCTAGCGATTACATGAGGACCTCTGTGAGAGACTACTTAAGTGAAACTTGGAAATGTAATGACCATATTGTAACCTGATAATTTGGGTGTTTGCACAGGGAGAGGCACTTGGCTGCAGCAACAAAGGGTTGATTGAACCTTTACAGGCTACGGGAAACAAAGGTTCTGCTGGGCTGGGTTGGAACGATGAGCGAAGAAAGCAGTCCATGTACAGTTATAAAAAACGAGAGATGTAGCTACTTTTTTTTGGCAATTTGATAGAATGTGATAAATCTAATTTCACTTGTTTACTATTTGTTGCCTCTTTTACTAGTCATATATTTGCTTCTGACCTACTTTATACACCATATGATTAAAGGGTACTACCTGCATCATGCACTTAACCACATATAAACTAGCTACACTCCACAAGATAAATTACAATTCTACATGATAAAATCTTCGGCAAAATTTTGCAAGAGCATAGTTGATAAAAAGTTCTACGAATCAAAAGAGGCCATAGATCATATTGGTGCTGCAGACATGGATAGGAAACTAAATACACCATGTAATACCCAAAAAAATGGAAAAACAAAATCTAACACGGATTACAGTTTACAAGTACATCGAATGCCTGTCTACAGCTAGTAAAGTTAGAAAGATATGGCCGTGCTTGTTGCTTTACGAACTGATAGCTCTTGCTTCCAGGTCCGCAGGCTTATCTTCTGCTTGCTTTACTGTTGTACCATATAAGGATAAAGAGCAGCTTCATGTATGAAGGTAAGGCCTCGAACGTGCTGACCAACTCCAGAAGCCTCCCTCTACTCATTCTCTGCCTGAGCTTCTGTAGTTGTCATTTCCTCATCATTGGTAGTTTCATCAGGAGTTAATTCGGTTTTCTCCACAATAGTGTTTTTCTCATTCAACTCTTCGTTCAGCTTACTGATCTCTTCATCCTTCTCCGCAACTCTATCTTGCAAGATTAGTACCTAGGACAAATACGATTAAAACGTGAAACTACATCTTTCAAAAGTCATCCTAATGTCTGATTTCACTCTAAACAAGAATGGAAACTGTGTGAAAGCACCATTTCATTTGATCTTTCTACATCGTTTGTCAGTCCCTCTATCTGTTTGCACAGGCCTGCAAGTGGGAATAAAAAATGTCAGAAAGTGAGTGAAAACAAACTACTCATCATTGCAGTTCTGAATAACAATGGCAAGGCAACAGAATTCGGTGAGAGCTAAAAGGTAAAATGAACACATGTAATGAAAGATCTATATCAAAATTAGCACAAATATGGATTGCTTATGCAATGAGGGTGCTAACTTTATAGTTATGTCATACCCAACAGCCCCCCACCCCCCAAAAAAATGTGAAAAATTAAATACTACAATTCACCATAGTACAAGAAGAGACTACTTTGTTTTACAAACAAATCATGAACTCTAGAGAGAGCAGCCTAATGGGTGAATCAGTGTAGGAATTAACAGTTCCACAGTTTGGGATGGTGTAGGTTTCGCTGACGATGATGAATCAATTCTAATAAAAGCATGCCTTATGTCTGGCATGATTTCACTGTCGTAAGAATAAGGGCATGCAGATATATGGTAACCACACACAGATCAGGCGATAGCAACTGATTCCTCGAGCACAGACTAGACATATTTTAAAATGTAGTATAATTCCTTGTCAAAAGCTTTCTTAAGCTAAAAAACCTACCAAAAAGCAAATTATATCAAAGAGTGATTATGTCTTCATTTTACTCAAGAGGATATGCATATATTACCAAAAGTTTCAACATATACAGCAAAGCTAATATCCTCAACAAATATCAATCACACTCATCATATCTAAAATGACCAAAATGACCTAGCCCAATCAAAAAGAAAACAGAGGTGTATTTGTAAAACAACTTGAGAGAACATTAACCTTCAAAATGACTTTTGAGTTCAGCATTCTGAGACCTCTGCAAAGCCAGTTTCATTGTTAATTCATGTATCTGCAAGTAAAGGAGTTGCATGATAACATTTCTTGATCAGTTTTGAACTAAAAGAGTTCTATAATTTTACACACTTCACTGATCAAGAAAATTGTCTACTACCTTTCCTTCATTAGCCTGGTTTCCAATCTCTTCATTTTCCTCCTGCAGTGTCCTACATTTAGCCATTAACATCTTGCCCATTTTGCTTTGTGGGGTAAAATTGACAGCAGCAATGTTATCATGCAACTCCTTTACTTTCTTATCCTTCTCCTCAACCAAATTCTGTCAATGAAAAACAAGAAAAGATGTAAGCAAGAATGCAATCAGGGCCAGCAAGCCACAAAGGAACAATGAAAAAGTCAAATAAACTACACACGAGAAGCATCCAAGAATTTAAGCACCAAGCATGCTATATTCATTGGCAACGGGATGCATCATCTGAGCTCATTGAGCAATTCAAAAGGTAACCTGGAATGACTTCACTAACAGTGTGCTCCCCCATTAAATAAAGAATTCCAGCAAACCATCAAAGAGGCTTGAAAGCACAGTGAAATTAAAGTATGGAACCACTAGATAAGTGTATCAATCTCCTCTCCAGACATTTCAGCTTGAAATTAAAATCAATGTCTAGATAAGTTACCTTCAGCCGAGTGAACTCTTCATGAATAGCTGGATCTAGTAATAGCTTCCGTGCCTGTTAATTTACCCCAAAAAGAAAGGAAAATGAGCAAAATGTGAACAAAGACATTAAAAACAAATGTTAACCCAAAAAAGAAATTAGGAATACCTACGGTATAAGATGACATTCTCCAGGTTAAAAAGGGAGAGGGGCTCACTGCAGATGCATATTATTGCAGAAAAGAACAAAATGCTACAAAGGTTTGATTATTCAGTGAATCATAGTGCTGTTCTCAGAAGAAAAAAAGGAAATAAAGAGAAAAAAAAACAGAAAGGTTTTAATTCCATAACTCTGGTTGTAACTTCTAAATTTCTGGATTTTTTTAAAAAATTGATAATGTTGTATTCCTCAGCATTAAGGACATGCTGGAGACCTTCAAAAAGAAGCAAAAAGAGAGTAGAAGGAAGCTGTTTTTAAAAAATTAATGGAACTATATCCATTCCTTGAAACTTTGTTCTTAGTATCATCTGTTCTCACCTAACATGAAGATCTCTTAGGCCATTCATTGAGCAAACTTGAACCAAAATCTTAGAGAACTAGTTAAGGGGGCATAAGCATGTACGCATAATACAAACTTGGTAAATTCAACTCGGAATGAATATGAACTTTGAAAAATAGGATATGGGAATAGAAAATAGGAGGAAAAATTTATGATGCTGATGCGGATTGTGAGCATACTTGTCAAAGGAGAGTTGAACTACAAGGAAATCATCACCCATCAAATGCAGTAACAATTTTAACATCTTCTCTCTTTTTGATAATTGTGTGATCATGAATGAGGGTGTTGTTGGAAAATAGTGCAGGCTTCATAAATTAATTACAATAAAAACAAATCTGCCCCTTAATTAGTAGCATAGATAGTAAGAAACAAGTAGCCACTGAAGACTCAATCTTTTCGTAAAGACTAAAGACCCAAATCCAGCTGGTAGGATGTACATTAGGGTTAAGCAGAATGATTCAAGCAGAGAAGAGGTACAGGCCACCATATGCAGTTCCTAAGGAGATTTATCTTATCAGCCAGTTTGATGGTAGATAAATGCTGCTCTTACCCTTCAGTTATCTTTCCTCCATTAGTCTGGAAGCGAAAAGCTGAACTTGCATCAAAAGTATCAACAAAATAGAAACACAATTGAAACCATTCCTTTCTTGATTCCCTTGCTAACTTACATTTAACTATAACCAAAAACTGCAGCCTTTGAAACTCAAGGGTGAGGGGGCCACCCCTCTACCTTCTACACTTAAATACTGGATTAAGTTCACTTGGCACAGCTCAAACTTGTGACCTAAGAACCAAGTCCCTCAACCTTCGTCAATTGAGCTACCCCCCCCCCCTCACCCCCACCCCAAGATACTAACTTACAATATACAACCCTAACAATATGCTATGTGGTTTTCTAGCATAATGAGTATACTGGGAATTGATAGGTATTCTAGAACCTTGAGATCAGCACTAGAGTTACAAGTGTTAACACGAGAATTAGATTCTCAGGCCAATATGTGGGCATAAGGTTGGTAGCGGGTTGGTAAGATTCCTTAACTAGAACTAGCACCAGCTAACAATTTTATTATTTAAGCAGAATGCATAAAATTAGCAAAGCAACAACCAAATGACCAGAATGAGCAACTTACTGTGTGAAACAAAAAGAAGCTACATACAACACAGAGATTACACACATAGAACTCCTTTTTAAAGGAGCAAATTGGAAAAATTCACCAAAACAATTGAACAACAGCAGGGAATAGCACATAACACACTCTCACAGTCTCTCTCTCCCTCCTTTTTTTGGGTTTTATACAATGAGTAAGCAAAGATACTACTACTACCTGCATAGATGGCGGCTTGAGTTGAGCTCTAAGGTCCCGAACTGCAGACTAAAACATTCACCAGTAGAAAAAGTAAGAAGAAAGAATTGATCAGCACAAAGTAAAGAGAAAACAATGAATTGGATATATACATTTTAAAACAAAGGCAACTAAAGATGAAGGAAAGAGCACCCAATACTATACATACAAGAAAGGATTTAAAAAAACAACATTCCATTGCCTTCTCACTCGCCTCACCCCAAGAGAAGAAAGACATGACATCTGATCAGAGGTTCTGTCGAGGATAAAACTAGATGTATAACATAAGGGCATCTCTAGTATTGATTAGATAACAGATCTCTTCAATTGACAAAAATGAAAATGAAAGATTATCTGACTAGCAGTAGGCTTTTGTTTACCCTAAAATGTAGGCCGCAAGCTTCATTGCACACCATAAAGATGAGACATTTTCTCAGAGTAAAGTACAACATACAGTTGGCAACTTGGATAGCATCTACAAACTCAAAGTTCAATTTCTTAGTGAAATCATTATCTTTTGCTCCATATAGTTTTCTTGCATGGTTGCACCATATAGTAAGATAACATGTTCAAATATCCTGCTCAATTTTGTTGAGATAGCCGCAAAAGAAAAACAAATTGTATACAAGATAGTTCAAAATTAATCTGTTATACAGGCAATCCATCATTTGATGTACATGGACAAGTTTACCTTCAACTCTGCTATCTCCTGCTCTCTTTTGGCAAAAGTAACAATAAATGCAGCCTCCTTTTTCTTTGCTCTTTCCAACTACAGATTGCAAAGATGAGATAATGATTAGAAAAAACTTCAATAATATTTTAGCAATGAACAAATAAAGAGGAATAAAAAATAAAAATAAATAAAAAACCTGTTCACGCAATGCCTCCTCAGATGATCTGAGGTTCTGAAGATAACTGACCACAAACTTGGGTTCTGCAAATAAGCACAGAGTTAATTCTCTTCAGAATTAAAGAAACCACTCCGTCTCAATCAACATGAAGATCTTTCCATTCCCGAAATGATGAACATGAATGATATCTCGCTCTCTTTTTAAAAAAAATAATAATAATAACACATGGAATTTAAACAATTCAATTTTAAGCAGTGATGTGATGGTGGAAGCATCACACTAGTCTACTAAGTATTATTTAAAGAACAAGTCAAACTTTCCCATATAACTCCAAACACTTTCAGAACCATATCATCTAACAAATGGGAGAGGAAACTAAAATACGGTGCTTCTTTTATTAATGATGTAGGACTCTCAAACATACAGCATCAATTGGGGAAAACACGAAGATAAAAAAAAACAAGAAGAAAGGAACAGGATTTTGACTGTCCAGAGATGCTGAAAAGGACAATACCAGGTGTCATGCCAGGAGGTATGAATGGTTCCTTTTCAAACGCAGAGCGCCACTTTAGTATTTCAGATTTTGCTGATTCAAGTTCTGTCTGAAACAAGATAGACAGTTAAGTCAGTAATTAGTTTTATGAGATTTAAATCAGAATGTTGGTCATTCAACAGCATGATTCAGGCTCCATTAAGTGTGGTGCAGTTCCAAAAGGCCCCCACACAAAGTTTGAACAAACTAGTGAATGCATAAGAATCAAGGAAGGGCTGTAAAACATCAAAGGAAGATTACAAACTGTGAAATTAGACATATTAACCCCTCGGACATTTTAAGACATGAGTAGCAGAGTCAACACGAAGGTTGGAAAGGGAAGATAAATTTATGCTGATGCAAGATAGGTAATCAGTAAATCATCGCCATCCAGCCAACATGTTAGTTAAAGCATATTATTATCTGAAAAGCAAGGGAAGAAAGAGATTTTATCCTATACCACAAAAGCATCTAAAATGAATTTTTGAATGATTTGAGTGAAGTATCAGAGAAAACACAAAACAACTTCCCATGAAAGATACTATATGTGCTTACTTCTGTAACTCATGTGGTATTAAACAAGTCCTTGGACAACTTAGGATGTCAGCTATTAACTGGTGGAATGTGAAAGGTAAGAATGAGGTTCATGACTGCATACTAAAGTTCCTTCCAATTGCAATATGTTGGGAAATTTGGAAAAATAGACGTAAGCCAGATTTGATGATAAAATGATGCCAACTTGGTACATCATTCAGCAAGTTAAACAGCCTCATCAATTTCCCAAATTAACCCTCCCTGATTCTTGGATTGGAAATTGTTATATGATAGATAAGGTGAAACCAATCATCATTCAAAGGCTGTTTGTTCGATTAAACCTTCTCATTTTTGGATAAAATTCAATGTTAATGGTTGTAGCAAGGGAATTCCGGGATCAGCAGGTGGGTGCTATAATCAGGGATCATACAGGGGCTATGATTCAGGCCTTTGTTGATTACTATGGGCATTGCAGTAACAATATGGCTGAAGCCAAGGCCATGTTGAAAGGGGTGAACATTTGTTGGAGGCTGGACTTACTAATGTTATAGTTGAATCTGATTCTCTCCTTATTATCGACATTCTCAATGGGACCCTGGAAAATCAAGCAGATTACTGAGAAAATAGCTAATTCATCTCGTGTGGAAACTTTGTTTTTAAGCATAATTTTACAGAAGGCAACTCTACTGCTGACCTCCTTGCTAACATGGAGAAGAATCTAAAACTTTTCTAATCTTCACTGAAACTACTTTCGTACCTTTAAAGGTTAGAGCTTCATTGGAGATTGAATTTGATGGACTCCCAAATTCCAGGTTTAAGAAGAACAAGTTCGCCATTGATGTCTGCTGACTATTATAAGCCTTTTTTGGTGATTAGCAATAGGTATATATTATCTAGCTACTTAGATGAGTCTCATACCATCAGTAGCAATGATACTCAACACAATACTCTTTTTTGTTGTACTCAAATGTCTTTAAAGATTAATTTTATCAACCTTCACAATGCTACAGAGGCTAATGTTTATGCCCTCCTCCGTGTAATTATTATTTTTGGTACATATACAGGTTGAGTCTTGCCTAAACTCCTCCATCAGTTAAATGGACCTTCAGGAAAAAAAAATTAAAAACCCTATATAAACATTGAATATTAACAGAGAGAAAGTAAGATAATCCAGCATACTATTCTTAATAAAAACAAAAACAAAATTATAATCCAACATACCATAGTAAAAAAAAAAATAGAACATCTAAACTTCTAGGCTCTGATAATTAATATAATATTTTAAAAAATCATACAGCATGAATACATAATGCTGAAAAAGAGGATGACAGATAATTTTGGGTATAACCATGGAAAACAAAAAACAAAAATGAAAGATGATAAGCACCTGAGTTGATGCTAGGTTATCCTTACAGTCCTGTAGACTGCAATAACGAATCACAAAAGACAGTGAGAAAATGAAAACATAAGCAATTAAATCCAAAAATGTTCACAGATGTGCAACAAGCATCCAACTACCATACCTTTCGCGAAGAGACAAGATCATCCCTGTTGCTGCACCAGGTGCTGTTTCTTCTACTTTCAACAAATTACCCTAGTATTGAAACATATAAATGATAAATATTGACTTGAGATTGACATGCTAATAGTCCTTATGACTCCTATTAGTCTAGTTGAAAAGAATCACAGATCAGTCAAGTTAAATATTCTTGAAGGATTTAAATCCTTGACAGTATCAAAAAGTGCATTTAATTATGTTAAACAATTTATGATGTCTCAAAAGAAGCATATCACATAAATTTTAACTAAGAGAGTGCTTATGAGCAACCCACTAACCTTGTATCCCATGATTGGTTTGCAAGTATGGTTTACAAGACAAACTTAAATAAGAATAGGTAAACAAAACACCTTTTTAGAGCCAAAAATATCGTCCTCATCATCGTCAAGGTCTCCAAAGCTTCTTTTGGTACCTAAAATCACTTGCAATCAAATAATATACTCAAAAACTTGCAGTAAAAAGGACAATGGCGGAGAATTAGCAAACCTGAACGTCCAGTGGCGGCGAAATCTCCACCAAAATCGAGGTCCTGAGAATTCCCCCAAAACGAAAATTCTTCAACATTATAGTATAAAGGAAGTACAAGTTATAAACAACAACTAGAAATAAAAAAGGAAAAAAAGAACTTACATCGTCCATGTGATTATGAGACGCCATTGATAGAATCAATTCAACAAGCTTAAAGTTCAATTTGGAACCCTAAATTTGTTGAACAATGAGGAGGCTTCAGTGAAAAGAAAGCGGGGAAGGAAGAAAAATGTTTTGTCACATCCGGGTGGGTTTAATTCCTAGTTTGTAAAACCGAATTTATTTCATTAGACAAATAAAATCAATTGACCTAATTTGAGCAACATAATCTAAAATTCTTTTTTACACCTTATTACTATTTTATATTATTATTTCGAAATTAATATGGCATTAAAACATTGCTTTAACCATGGTAGGTTAGATCATTTTTTGGCTTCAAAATATGATGAAAAAAACTATACATAGAGAAAATAATGACACACTTTTTTAACAATAAAAATTAGGAAAAACAAAAGCTAAGTCAAGTTTTTTTTCACTTTAAAATATATAAATGTGAATTCAATGTGTATAGATTTTTGACATTCTTTTTAGTTGTAAAAATTAAAATTTGCTAGAGACGACAATTGGAGGAGAGAAAAAATACTATGATAACCTTGAATCCTTCTTTAAAAATTCAAAAATGTACAGAACTTTGTTACAAGTATGTTATAATCTGATAATTTTTTTTATTAATCCAAAATAATTGGGTTATCAAAAGTTGTTGGGCATTTTTAACTCGAAAATTAACGTTAAAAGGGGCAATTGGAACTCGATAAGTGAAGTTGATATTCCAGCTTGTATTTTTCTCTTTTAACACTTTCAATTCCAATCTAGATTGTCACGATTTGATTAGACTGAAACAACTCTATTGTGAGACACTGTACGAAGAAACTCTTTATAGCCAAACTTAAAAACAAATTGATTAAATTAAAGTTCCGGAGAAAACAAGAGGAATTATGACCTTAACTATCTACCACTCATCTATAATTACCACAACCAAATCCCTAAAATACAATATAAAGTAAGAATTATGTGATTAATGGCTGGTAAAAAGCTCACGTATATCATTAATATTAATAATAATAAGAATGGCGATTACTACTTGAATTACATATTTTATATATCTAATAAATAAAAGTAGGGGCCTTGAATTTTCCAGGCTAAAAACAAGAGCTTCATTGGTATAGGGGTGGAGTCACCCTTGTTTCTATCCCATCCATAGCTTCAGAACTCTATCTTTACCACCAGATGCTACTTTTTCGCCGTCTGGACTCCAGTCGACCGCGAAAACCTTCCACGTTCAGAGATAGACAAAGTTATCAAAAAGTTATGTAGAGAAAGAGACTGAAAATGCCTGTGGCAGAAGCTTACCTCGTCAGCATGGCCGGGAAGGTCTTGTTTCAATTTTTTTGTCCGGATATCCCAAACCTAATACAGACATAAATGATTTTCTTAATGACTTGTTTTTAACAGGACAAGACCAAGGGTAATGCAAACACATACCTTCAAGGTTGAATCTTTGCTCCCACTCAAAAGTAGCCTACTGTCGGCTGACCAGCTGTGCAAAACACAAGGATAGTAACTAACAGTTGACTGTTGAAGTAATGGAAGATTTGAGTTTTATGGCAAATTTTAACCTTATCTGATAAACAGGTCCAACATGGCCTCGGAATGCAGCAACAAATTTTCCTGTGGTTCCATTCCATAATTTTACTGACTTATCGAATGAAGCACTTGCTATCCATTGACCATCCGGAGAAAAATAAACGTGATTAACCAGCTGCAAAAATTGAAATTCATGGTTTGATGCTTAGAACAAAAAATGAAGGCCGTGTTCACAGTCAAAGCACACATGCACACGGAGAAAACCATCCTTTACAGCACAGAAAGATTGTTAACCTGTTGATGACCTGTCATGCGAGTTTTTGGGTGCTTGCTGACAGCAGGCTCCCATAGAAACATTGTGAAATCATCTGATCCTGATACCAACCTCTCAGGGGCATTACCTCTCATTTTGTTGTACCTTTCAAGTGCTACCTGGCAATGAAACAAGAGCAATGTTAAGTACTGTGTGGATGGAGAAATTACAATTTGGAGCAACTAAATAGCATCAAAGATTCTCGTTCTTCATTTGCTCTTTGCCTCTCGTTGGTATATACTGTTGCCCTGTCACCTGCTAAATGAGAATATGGGATGCTTCGAGATCCACAAGATATAGGCATGCATAATCTCAGTAGTTGAGGAAAGCATAAGGCAAAAGATAGAAGACGCCCTAAGTTTTAGGTTTAGACCCAATTCAGTGAAAAACACCCGATTTTGTTAACTTCCATCTGAGTTCCAAGAGTCAAAACAGTGAGGTTCTTTTTCTCTATATGTTAGAGAGGCCTCTATATGTTAGAGAGACCCCCAGCTTTTGTACCTTTCTATTTGTTGTCATCGCTTTCCTCACAAATCCTCATATAGTATATGCAGCCTATGTTTTTGTTGATCAACAAAACTGAAAAGATAGATTTTTCTTTTTTTCTAGCTGGGGCATCTCTATTGAGAATCTCTTCAGTCACCCTAGCTTTTTAGCAAAATGTAAAAGGTACAACACAAGGAGGCAAACAATCTTGTACGAGTGGCTTAATTGAGAGAAAATCTCACCTCTGCAACTGTTTCAAGTACAGAGCTGGCACTCACTCAAAAAGGATACAACCAATCTTGTACGAGCTGAGATATCTCACCTTTGCAAATGTTTCTAAGGACTAAGCTGTGAGTTCCAAAATTATACAGCCTGCTATTGCTCAAAAAGATTACTTAATTCACTATTGTGTCAACATCTTGTCTCACAAGAAAACCGAAAAAATTGTTGCTAGTTATTATCTGCCATTGAAATTCTTTTTTTTTTTTTGGTAGGAATGAAATGAGTTCAAATGGATAGGTAGGATCATATAGCAGACACCAACGCGGAATTGAGGCGTATTCATCAATGTCATACTGCAGCACTCCCAGACTGAGGAGGTCGTTTAAACTAGCCTACTGGATCATGGATGAGATGAGCTCAGCTTGTATATTTTTGAACATCAAACCTTCCTGTGACTTCTCACTCTCACCATAAGTTGAGTTATTATACAAAAACACTTCACGCTTCCACAGCAGAGTATCTTCATAAGGATGTGTGGGGATGAAGTCTTAATTTAATCCAACTAAAGTTGATATAAGTGAATCCTTGCAATATTGAGGGCAAATTAAATTAAGCACATAAGAAGCTTTCGGACTAGGAATACCAAAAGATTACCTTTTTCATTTCCTCAGGAGATGCGAAGTGTTTATTAGTGTGATCAAAAGCTCCACTTCGAAGAACATATTCAGTGCTCAATGCTAGAGAATTTACCCAATGTCCATGACCCTGCATAGCATGAAATGGTAGGAGCATAAATAAGAAACTACCCATCTAGTCATAATTCCCAAGACATCTTACTCCATGGGAGGCGAGAAACTCCAATTTTCATATATGCACATCCACTAGCTTCAAAATCTACAGGAGTACACTTATTCCACCGTAGACAGAGTGTTTCTTAAAATGAAATACAAAGATGCTCAAAAATTGACCACATGTCAGAATGGACTACAAAGACAAATGATAATATATCACAAGCCTCACATTTGAGCAATCAGAAAATTTCCTTTCTACTTCAAATGTAAATTGAAAGAAAGCTTCACAGGGATCTCAAGGAAATATAGAAAACCCACCAAGCACATACCAACCTCACTGAATACACTATACAGGTGATGAATAATAATACAAAGTCACAGCACATGCATCGGAGCAGTTGAATAGTCCCACAATAATCAAAAGTTATAGACTTCACCTTCAATTCACGTATCAGCTTCCCTTGCGTGGTTTCCCATACCTTGATTGTACAGTCTTGAGATCTGGAATATGAACTAGCAAATGTTACCAACACCATATTAAAGATATCATCAACTATTGTCTGGGTTCAACAGCTCGTTTTCTCTCTGTATACACACACACACACCTTCAACGGCTCGTTCTCTCTCTGTGCACACACACAAAAAAAGGAGAGAACTATGCACCAAAGGAAAAAGTTCAAGTAATAGATACATCCAGTGGCCCATCACAGTAAGTTGATGCTCGCCACAGAGATCAATATACTACACACATGACAACAATCTGTAAAATGAAATGTATAAAGAACTATACCCCGTGTATATAACTCCATCTCCACCCCATTTTACACATGTTATTGCAAGTGTATGGCCAGTGAGACAAATGAGACACTTCCTTGTGGTAACATCCCATATCCGTGCATCGCCATCTTTACTTGCACTTACAAAGCGGCGACATGGAGCACTGAGGTGTACAGGTTCCCAAGAAATACCAGTTATCCATTTCTTGTGGCCCTGCAACATGACAAGGTCAGATCAGACTCTTCAAAGAGTTTCTCTTGAACAGTTCACAAAGCACTACAGCAAGTCAAAAGGAGCCAATTATTTTGGCATCAGGGACAATTACTTTGACAAAAGCAACAAAGGGAAGATGTGCATGTCACACAAAAAGCCACGACTTAAGTCAAGAAAGACAGAATAGAGGACCTAGATGTTGTTTCTTAATTCAAGGCCTCTTTACTTGAAAATCTTCATAGGGGTATATGTAGGTATTATGAAATAAGAATAGAAGATAATGTCAAAATTAAAAAGGAAGGAAAGATGAAGTTTGAACTGAGCCACTTGGGCAGCATTCAGCAACCATAATTTGACATTGCAGACACTCATAGTCTATAGATACAACTAAAGTAATCAATGATTGATCAAATTATGCATATACATCCTGTGACATCTACTTTGCATGGTTCAATTGAGGATTCACCTACACTCCGAATTCTAGCTACCAACAAACATAAGCACATTAGCCAATAATACCGCCTATAGTGGGCAATAATTCTCAATTCATGATAACTCTCAAGCTGGCAGTCATGAGCGTGAAGACCTTCAAACAACTTTCAAGAGCTCGAGGAACTTTTAAGAGAGCCATCTAAGAGGATTTGAAGGCCGACAATATGCTTAAACAAGTATTTACAAGGCGCAAACAAAAACTTATGGGATTTACAACGCACGAACAAGGCCCAGCTTCTATATGGGATGGTAGTACAAATGGTGGGATAACATAATCTTAGGATCAGTTAACACCTCAAACCGAAACTGGGATAAAGTTTATCCCAAATTTAATCACAGATTATTATCCTTATCCCACTACTAAAAATCCCATTAGTATAAATAGTTGTCATAAGGGTTTAGTTCATCAACTATTTTTGAATTTGAATTTAGATGATTGAACCTTGTGCGCGTCAAAGGGAAGAACCCTAGTATCTCTCCATTGAACCCCTCCTTACATTCCCCTAGCCCCTAGGTAAGGATTTCCATGAATGAGTTCATTTCTCTTCTCCTACGGATTAAATCTAGTAATTGACTGTTAACTTAAATTATTATATAGTCCTTTTTTTCTTTTTTTTTGAATAAAAAGAACAGATATTCCTTTCTTTCTTCAATCTATTCCTATTAAAATCTTTTCTCCCTAATTTTCAACAAAGCTCTTGTATGTTTATTCGAGTTCCTTACTTCCATGACTTTGGTTGCTATCACTTCATACAATATTCAACCTGACTAATAAGTTTCCTTACTTAGCAGAAAAGAAAAATAGAGCCCTTCCACAGATACACTATTTGCACAGACTGTAATTAAACTTCAATAACACTGGTTGCTAGTAGATTATCCGGATTTTATCTTCATCCGGTAAAAAGAAAGATTATCAGGATTTATCGTAACTGAGGCACAACAGACGGCAGTTAACAAGGAAAATGTTGTTTTAGCAGGGATCTTGACCCATAAAGCCCAGCAGGCAAAAACACATAAAATCCATAGTTCTACAATCTCAATAACTATACAAAAACAAGTCTGAGATGACTTACAGTAAGCGGATTCCCTAAAGGCTTCCCAGTCTGAAGGTCCCAACAGATAAGTTCTCCAGCCTTGCTTCCACTAACAAGATGCTTACCATCTGGCGACCATGCAACAGAAAGAACCCAATTTCTGTGCCCTGGAACAAAGAGGATATATAGAGTCACTATTCATTCATAGACATTATTTAACACATAAAGGGTAAGACCATGATTCGGCAACTTTGGCAAAGGGAACAAGAAGCATTGGCAAAATTATATAGAACATAAAACCTGTTTCTTTTCACTTTTCTTTTTGTTGCGTAGCAACTGCAATATATTTGGTTATACAGGTAGCTTGCAGACTCATAACTAGTATTTGATGCTGAAATTTCAAAAGGAAAGAACAGGCAATCCCTGCAGCATTTGCGGCATAAGAATAGAATAAGCAGAACTTTACAGAAAAATAAATGACCTCACAGTCCGATGTTAAAACCACTGTGGAAAATTAACATACAATATCATCTGACCAGATGCATGATAAATGACCAGTGCCTAAAATGCATTCAAAGTAGCCAAACTAGGATTTAAACAGGAGTATGAGAATGTTGAGGGAAGTACAATATCCAAATATTAATCCCAGCATATTAAGAAGTTATCATTCTCAAAAGTGGTAATCAGCTAAATAAATTTTGTAAGAGGATACACTTAAAGACCTTTATCATTCAGTTACTATATTTTACGTAAGATAATAAATGAAAAACTGAGACTGCAACTCATGCCTATGAAACTTAGATTCAAACCTTGACATGTAAACAACGGTGTCTGGGTATTTAGATCCCACAAACGAACTGTAGTGTCACCAGATCCACTTGCCAACTGTCGTCCATCAGGACTGAAGGCAACTGAAAGAACAGCTTCAGTATGACCTGCAAGCACAAAACCCAAACGGATTAAAGCAAATGTGAAGGTTCCAGGGTGAAACAGAAAACTAGACAAAGATATACAGAAAAAGATAACGACATGCCAAGAAATGTTCGTCAGTACAAAAAACAGAAGTGCATATGAATTGGTTGTAGATCACCAACAAACAAGATTAAATAGCTATTTGCATGAACCAAATGCCTCTCAGGTGGAAAATAAAATCCTGACTGTAGAACATATCAAGCACAGAAGTTCATGCAAGGGGGGTTCACATTCTCTCATAAGCATATTAAAACTCCATTGTTTTGGCAACTGCCCACCACCAACACCAGTTATTTTTTAATCTTCAATACCTTCCCAAAAATAATGGAAATGTGAAAGGGTAGGTAAAGAGGAGGATTTTTTTGTGAAGCCAAACCAGATGTTTCTTCCGTGATATGTTTCTCCACCTGCATTATATCCCTCTTCTGGTATTATTGTTCATGCTTTGTTATCCCCCACCCCCTGTTTCTGTTGAACCGAGGGTCTATCGGGTGCAACCCCTCTACCTGAGGTAAGGGTTGCGTACACTTTACCCTCCCCAGACGTCGATCCTTACGAAACGATCATAGCCATTGAAAAATTCTGGTAATGTCTGAAAGCTTGGATCCCTCACCCCAACCAAATAGTCTACATGAATTCCCTCTCACCAACAAAGCTTGTTGGAGCTACTCGCAAACTCATTTGAGATTCTCCTCATCGATCTTTAGTTTGCTCATAAAGAGCCTACTGCTTTCAACAAATAAGAACCATCTATTGATGCTCACACTAATGTCTATTAAGTCCAAGGGTGGAAGAACAATATGTTTTCCATAACAGAAGATTAAATCAGAATAAAAAATGCACATTTCCCTTTCCATCTTGGAACCAAACACAGTGTTAATTCTTAGATTAGCAACTGGTCAAAGTATTCAATCCGCACTGCCGTTCCACCAACACTGACCCACAGCATAAATTCTTTAAGCCGCACTATCAATTGCCAGAGTTAAAGGATCACAGGGAGAAAATGCTCAGTAGCATAACAACAAGAGAAGTGAATAATTTTGTACCAGCAATTGTGGCCGAACAACGAGTGACAGGGCGGATTCGAAACACTGCTTGTGGTTGATAAACTATGGTCAAGACTTTTTCCACAGACACTGCAATGAAACTCATCAAAGTATCTCCATCAATAATTAGCAAAATAAACATTTCGATAATCACTTATAAGCTCCATAACATTACAACTCTACTACACAATTTACCTTTATTCTTCTCTAAGTATGATCCAAGCTGCACCACAAGCTCTTCATCTGAGATATAAAATGCATAAGGCAACTTTTCCTCCTGAAAAACTCCAAAAATTCCCTTAGTTACAAGTCAGCATGAAAATTGACACTTATGAAATGATATCTAATACACCATGATTCCTCGTAGCCGTAATTCTCTAGAATCTACTTGTTAACTAATCATTATGATTCAATTTAAACCATGAAAGCAGTTTAGCTTATAGAACTGTTTATTCTTTAATTTCCTTGGTAATAATTTCAATCTATATAGGTTGAACTCAAATAAAAATAGAAAAAACATTGAAGTTCTTATTGCTTACATTGCTGAGAAGCTTATTGACAACTTGATTAAGCTCTTTTGGACTAGCGTTTTCAGGGAGGTACAAGGCAGCACCCAACGGATTCCCTTCTGGGTCAGCCAACTGACATATGACACTGTTGGTTGCTTCTCTCTCTGCCGCCGCCGCAGCTTCCACTTCCACTTCCATCGTTTCTGCCATTAATCTCCGCTTACAAATTTTTGGTTAAGACTACTATTGACTCTTTAAGAGGAAAAACAACAGAGGTTTTAGTAGGGTTTTGAATATGTTCAGCTTTGCGAAGATTATCAAACTGTCAAAAACTGAAAAAGACACACCTTAAGCTTTGTGAAATTTGCACTTCCACCCCTAAGATATATGATCAATATTTTGTTAACACTTATAATAAGCTTTATCAATATAAAATAGATATATTGGTATATACTTTTTTATTTAAAAAAATAACTTATCTAACTATCTCAATTTTATTGTTTTTTATTATATTTTTATAAATAACATAAAGATTTCACTACTAGAGAAACTAAGATTGTTACACATTTGGCAAAACATATGAGAAAATTTCATTGGTTGCATGTCCTATTAGCTTTCACAAATTTATTCTATATTCAAAATTTATCATTTTATAATTACCCAACTTATCTGGTCTCAAAAGAAGGAGTTACAATAAATAAGAACGGTAAGCTAATATATCTTGAGGTTTCGATATTTGCAGTTATTGGACATATCCGTAATTCTACAGTTTTAATTTTAAGGTATGATCGTCCAAATGATGTCTTTGTATTAAAAAAAAACATGACTGAAATTTAATTAGCCATAAAACTCAAAATAATGTTTGATTAGTTGAAAGAGGCCTCAATATAGGCTATATGATGCAAAGAGTCCCTCCAATTCTGGCCCAATTCAAGCTGTGTCAAATATGGGCTTTCTTAGTCCAGTTAAGACTTATATGGCCCATTTCTCACCTATGAGTCTCTTGATCATCTTTAATTCTTTATATTTAGGATGTTTGAATATGATTATTAAGATATTTCTATTTGTGTAAAAATTTATCTTTTTTTTGAGAAAAAAATGAAAAATGTTAAATTTAATATGAAATGGATATAAAAAATCATAATTTTTATAATATTGTGACAATTTTTTTCTCCAATAAAACATGCTTCAAAAGTCGACGGCAATAATAACTGGTATTGGTTATTTTCAAGAATGATGATTACGGAAGGTAGGTGGTCGTAAACGGTAGACTTGTAATGATTGGATATAGTTATTGATGGTGGTTGTTCATGGCGACTGCGTAGTAATAGATGATAGTGATGATTTTAAATTTCGACAATTAAAGTGAGAGAATATTAAAAAACAAAATGAAAATAGAAAGTTAGCTTCGAATAGAACATTTGTATCTAAAATCATATTTACTAGCTTCATCTAGAAAAATCAAGTATAAAGATGGGCCTCACACAATACAATTATTATGATATATAGACTCGTAGTTCTTGGAATACAATCATTGTACGTTGCAATTTTTTTTTTGAATAAGATTGACAAGCACTACAAAGAAGATCTCTTTATATGACTATCAAAAGATCTATATTTGTACCAATGTCTCAAACTTCATAGCCTATTTACCTTTAGCACATGTTAGAATAGTTCCCTATTTGTTTCCCTTTTAATAGATGCAAAATTATATATAAATTGACACAAATGGAGCCTTAGTGTCTGAAATCATATATATATATATTAATCAGTAATTTCTTTGGACCAATCAAATGTCGTAAAAAAGCACATACAAGAAACGAGATACATGAGAATTATCTAAATACATTATTACATGGATATAAACTGACTTGTTATATATTTACTATAAGCAGTGATTTCTTTGGACCAAACAAATGTCGTAAAAAAGCACATACAAGAAACGAGATACATGAGAATTATCTAAATACATTATTACAAGGGTATTGAACTGACTTGTTATCTTTCAACCTTGAGGAACGATCAATCATAGTAATTTACATCCCTATCGAGCTACCCTTCATTCAGAAAATCAAGAATAAAGATTTAACCATTATATATATCCGATTATGATTTTCCCTAAAACTCCATCTTCGCCTTATTTATGTGTTCTTTGAAGCATTTAAAATGACTAAGTAAACTATTTAAAGTCGTTCATGAAGCTACATGTGTTGGTTCAACAAGGACTCAAAACTTCAAATGATCAAATTTTTTATATGTTTATGACCCGATTTATATCTAGATATGTATATATTTCATGTTAATAAAGATATTGAACATGCATATTCAATTTAAACTTCCACACAAGCTAGCTATATGCCACCTAAAGATTTGTTCCTAACGTATATATAGACTCATACGTAGTTCAAAAAATACAATCATTATAGGCTACAATTTTGAATTAAGTTTCATGAGAGCAAGATGAGCAAAGTTCACCATATCCAACACCTAAAGAAACAACAAGAGAAAAGCCTATACATTATATATATATAATATGTCCACCATTTAGATTGACAAACACTATAAATAAAATCTTCTTATAAGATTGCCAAAAGATCTTACATTTGTACCAATGTCTCAATTTCACCACTCAAACTCCATAGCCTATTTACCTTTAGCACATGTTAGAATAGTTCCCTATTTGTTTCTCTTTTTATCTTATGACATTAAATGTTGGTCATTAGGAGGTACTTAATATTCAATTTTTCATGGTTTTAATTTTAATTATTTTTTTCATAAACCTCACTTTACTTTTTCATGTTGGATAGAGATGGAATACCACATAAAGACAAACTTTATATTCTCTAATAGTCGTCTAATAATATATATATGTAAAGTAAATACAGGACCACCAAATTAAACACTAGTAGCTAATTAAGGTGTTAATTATATTCCTTTCATTGGAAGCTAATTAGTGTGAAAAACTAATCATTTGTGTATGTCCCGCTAATTCTCCGTAATTAACTCCTTCTGACACGTGTCGTTCGATGGTTGGTTGTGGTCACGTGAGCTAGTAGAAAAAGTTTTAATTTATTTTATGTTTATGGATGTCAATTTTTGTTAGTGTGTTATCATTATTATTTAGTATTAATTAGGAAAAAAAGAAAGAAAAATTGTAGCTTTGTCGGCAGTTTTGTCTTTTAACTTTTACTAATGGCATCAAGTCAGGTGGTAAATTTCATTGCTAAAGGGAGACAAAGTAGTACTCTTTGGCCCATGGTAGGTTTCATAGTCTTTGTCTTTATTTTTTTTACATTTAATATTTTGTATTTTCACCTTCTTCTTTTTTTGCAAAATATTTGGAACATTTTCATATTTAATTTCTACTTTGGAGAACTGAATCTCTTGATTGGATATATATCTTTAGATTATTACTACTTTTTTTTTGGTTTAGCTCTGACTAATTTGAATTAGCGGTGCATCAAGTTTATTAAAGGAAGAAACTGATAAAAAACTGACCTTGAATCTAACTCAATTTCACGAGTTAGCTTATAGATATATAGAAATTATTCAAGATAATGTAAAAAGATCATACGTATATCAACTCCACAAATGAGGTGGACTCCAATACCCCAAACATCCAATAAATTGATATAGCGCTTGACTCTAATATTATGATAAAGTAATCAATTTTGTACCTAACTCAACTTTTAAAACTAGTTCACGAAGCTAAGAAAGAATATCTCAAGACCATATAAGGAATCCATGCCTTAATTCCACAAACGACATGGGACTTCAGCGTAAATGTTCTCCAAAGGATTTTTTCCGCTCGAAATCGAAATTTATAGTTAAGATAAAAAAAAATAAAAATTTGAAAGGACCTTATTCGTTCCACTATAAATCTTCATAATATATATAATTAATATTCACTTATAATTATTAGTGTAAAACTTATTCGCACAGAATATTATACCAAATTAATAACTATATGTATATATGATTGAGTGATATATATTTTTATTCTGATTCATTAATTTTAAGATTAGATATAAATACTCTATGCATAAGTTTTTTATAACCTAATATGTTCTACTCAAATGAAAAAAAAATAAAATTGTCCCCTATATTAGTGTATATGCATGTCTTTTGTCAAAAAGTAGCCGAAGAAGATGATGCTAAAAGGAGTAATAGGGGGTTTGAAATATTTATTTTCCACAATTAAAGTTCAAATTTTTAAGTGTGAATGATTTCCAGTATCTTTTAGTTTGTCATGCAGTTTTGTCAATATTCCCCAAAACATTCAAAAATGTTTAAAAAGTATGCTTAAATCTTCAAAAATATTAGGAGACAATAAAAAATGAAATATTAGATTGGAATGTATCTTGGGAATCCACCTTTTCCTCTAAGCATACCCACTTGTTTGGAGGATTCCTACGTATTGCTTCGTAATATATATAACGTTCTATTATATTATTTTATTATTAAATAATAGCACATATTAATAATTAAAAAGATAAACTTATTAGAAAAGTATTACGGTGTAGAATTAGTATAAAAAGTTAGGTTAAATGATACAATAGAATTAATAAATAATGAACAAAGAAAAAAAAAGATTAAATGACTCTTTTCACCGTTACGTAATGATAAATCTAACAACACGATACAGTAAAAGATTAAATGACAATCATACAAATATTATATTTAAACTGACTGACATAATACAATACAATATGTAATAACCACCCAAACAAGGTATTAGTCAAACAAACGTATATAATCGATGGAATTATTAAATCTTAGCTTAAGAGTTGTTAGGATTTTGCAATGAGACCTATTGATTCTTTCCCTTTTTATGTGGATAAGAATTAGTGTAATTAGTTGTTTTATCATAAACTTTCTTTTAATAACTAAGGCATGATCCACTCCATAATTTTATTATTGCATTACCAATACCTTTCTTGGATTATCTACTTATCTAGAAACACCCCCAATTTGAGAATATTTTTAACTTGCATTTATTTTATTACTCTTATTAATGACAAGTTTTAATAGCCATAAAATTGGTATGGCATACTTAAAAACTGTAAATTTCAAAATCCTATCTTCTTCCTTCTTGAAAATGAAAAATCATATCAGTAGCTCCAAAGAATAATTTTCATAAGTTTCTCTGATTAGAGTGATTTGTCTTTTGTTCCTAATAAGCTTAAATGATCATGTAACATTATAAATGACTTGTGTCTAATCAAACACTAGACGTGTTCGATTTTTTTAAAATTAAAATATAACACTCCCTCTAATCCCCTACTTTTGGTGGGGTTGAAATATTGAATGATTTTCTCCGATTATCAACTTGGTGTATAATTAATATTCTTAATAAGATTCGATTAATTCAATTTTTTTGAACGACATTTTCAATTAGATATTCAAATTTGAAATACGAAGGACAAGATCATTCCACTACAAATCTAGTAATAAAAGAGTCAATATATCACATGTGAAAGTATAAGATAAATGCCTCAAAAAATTGAGGCATGTTAATGAGAGTTGTTTGCCAATAAGGGAACTCATGGGACAAAAGTGCATAGCCACTCCATAACTCCATTGTTGAGGAGTCAACCTCAATGTTCTTTTTTAGACCTTCTAACCTCCAACATTTGTCATCATTTTTCAAAGTGAAAAAAGGTAAAATTCAGTAAATAATATATTATTTTAGAGGGGAAAAAAAAAGAAAAAAAGAGGTACTCTAATATATATATATATAATATTAATGGCACGGTTGCACGCAACAAAAGCTTTGACCTTTTGTACCTAAAGTGGAAATTTCACTCGTTTTTGCCTTCTACTATTTCTCAAATTTCATCATAATATAACAAGTATTAAGTGTTCTTTTTTTTTTCTTTCAAAACTTGTCTACATAAAATAAAGAAATGCAATTATTGTTCATAATATATTTTCTTGGCTCAACCTATAAATTATCATGTTTTTACTTGATGCCCACGTGTGAGGACTATATAAATATACTTGAAATCAAAGGCCATGCCCTAAACCACCACATTCTAGAGACTTTTTGTCTTGTTGGGGACAAGTTTATTTGAGTAGAAGTATTTCTTAAGTAAGAAAATTCATGGTGTAAGTATTTTCGGTTTTGTATTTATCAAAAATGGATATATTAGAATCAAAAGATTTTAAAAATTTGTTGAGATGTCTAAGTAGGCATTCATTCAGAATCGAGCGATACATATAATTGATTAAAGTTGTGTAAATGATAGAAATATTGTGATGGAAGCCTCATTTTCAAAATACTCTAGATAAAAAGGATAATTAAGAAACTAATGATGTCATGTTGTAATTTCCACTATTCACTTCTATTGCTTGAAGTTACAAATAAATAGATTGCAATAATGTCATGCCTACTATAATTGAAGAGGAGAAACATAACAAAAACAAGAAAAAAATTTCCAAAGTGTGAGTATATATGTTCAACTACAAGTCACCGTCCAAAATAATCTACTTTACAACTACGAAGTGTTCTAATTTGCCTCTTATTTTCTTGACAAATTATGAAAATACTCATCAAATTTTCTTTAATTCAAATGTTCACACATGCAATACTGGACATGCCTTATTGAATTTATCGATGAATAACTAGTACAAACAACTAGTTGAATTCATCGATTAATTAACATATTATAGCTAATCCAGACAATTTGTAGTTGAATTAATCGGCCTAACATAAGACAATAAATTTGACAAATTTCTCAAAGTTAGATAAAACAATATTTAATTTATTTTTCTTGATAAAAGATGTGCAGTTTTCTTTTTTTTTAAGGGATAATACACAAGTACCCCTCAATTTATGCTCAAAATTTCGAAGACGCACTTGTATTATAATATGGTCCTATTACCCCCTCAACTTGTGTTAATAATTTTCTATTCTTTTTAGGCATATGTGGCACTGTCTTGTGGGTAATAGGACCTTATTATAGTATAAGTGTGTCTCTGAGATTTTAAGCATAGGTTGAGTGGGTAGTTGTGCATTTTCCTTTTTTGTAATAATGTGTACGATATATATATATACAAAGTTCACTCATATTTCTCAGTCATATAATATAACACATTTCTTTGTTCCTTCTTTTTTTTTTTATAGTAATATTTCTTGGACATGACTTTTACCATTTCGAAGGAAGCTAAAAAATGCAAAATAATTGCATTGTTTTATATATTTTATATAAATAAATATAATATACACTCACGTGTAAAGAGAGAAAGAAAAAGCCAACGCATTAAGCTATACATTTCACTAAATAAATTAATGTTCAATCGTTATTTAATATTGTTATTTCAGTATTTCAATAAAAACCTATTTTTCATCGTCAATTTTTCTAGTGAGTTAGTTTGATAAAAATAGAGTGTGAAAATCATACTTTATAATATAAATTTTTTATTAATTCGCAATAAGAAAAATCTTTAATTTCAATATAGCGAAAGAAAGAAAGAGAAATATATTCATGCAATACAAGAATACTAATGTCATAAGATGGTTGGTCAATCGATAAGATTAATATTAACAAAATATATATATATCATCGATCATTTCCACCAAATATAACCATCCAAACAAAATATATATACTATAAGAAATGACACATAGGAAGGCACTTCCTTAGCCCATGGAGTTGTACCACAATAATAATATTTTTTAATGCCATTGGTGACATCAAATATGCTTCCATTAATGGGAACTACAATGAAGCCAATAAATCCATAGGTAATATCTGTTAGTCTAACCTGACCCAAATATGTACTCTAAATTAATATATATTATGTTACGTTATTCGTTTTGAATTAAACTCGTATTGATCTAATTTTCCAAAATTCTTTATATCGTTAAGAGTATCCTAACACATAACATATAACTTCCTTTTAACTATAACTATCAATATGAGATTCATAAAACCAAAATGAGAAGAATTAAAGAAAAAAAAAATCCTTAGAAACAACAAATTTTCCACCTCTCACAAAAAGTAAAGTAAACATGATTTGAAAAGAGAGGAAAAAAATAAAGGAGCGTAAAACAAATAAGGGCAGACAATAATAATTAGAAGTAAGAAAGAAAACTTTCACATAATTACGTGCGTGTGCTATGCAAAAAAGCTTCACAAAAAAACATCATTAATTAATACGCTTCGTCTCAAATTATCTATCGTATTTCTCCTTAAAAATATTAATTAACAAAGGATTTAATTATCTAAATTTTATTATTATCTTAAAATATAATTTATTTAGTATCAACCTTTAAAAATTACGATAGAATAATTTGAGACGGAGAACAGTGTCAAACTTTTTATTTTTATTTTTGGTCTCATCCTGACAATATAGTCTACACAATAGGGATCTATTGTTATTGGTTGTAGCCAAAAGATTTGTGCACCCTCAATATCCAATATTATTTTTTTATATATATTTTTTATAAGAGATAATATTATTATTAATTAGGGGGTAGGTGTGTGTATATATATATATATATATGGACTTCCACAAGTTTGATAGAGCATTTTATATATACGTGGTTTTCCAATATTGTTATTCAAAATTCCAAAATTTTGGTGTAATGAAGGCAACTCTCAAATATTTGGCTGGCATTGCTGGCCCAAGTGGTTATGGTTCTAAAACAACTGCTGAACAGGCTACTAAAGATTTCTCTAATTCCTCTAATTCTCAACTCACTGCAATTATCACTGGTAATTAATTACTCTCTCTCTTTTTATCTCAATTATTTGTCGTATTCTTGAGTTTTCGAAACGGTTCTAAGACTAAACAAATTATTTTTGTATTTGTGCAAGTCAGAAGCAAGACTTGATAGGGCAATTGTCAGTACTTGATAATCCGTGCATGTTTGGAAGAATTCTTTAGAAAAAAAATATCATTTTTTAATGTTCTTTTTCTTCTTGAAACTTTTGTTTCATTGATGTGTTGTTATTAGAGAAAATGAGGAATTAAATGTTTTTTTTTTAAAAAAAAAAGATTTTGAGTGGTTAATTCTTAATAATCAAATATTGTGAGATGTGACTATAAGCAATTTAATATTCATCATGGTTTTGGTCGACATGCATTAACTCTATCTTCTTCTTCTTTTTTTTTGGAGAATTTTGAAAGGAATATTCTTGGATTTGATTGTTTTACAGTATGAGACTTTTAACATAGCTTGAATAATAGATGTGTTATAATTTTTTTAAATTATTTTTTACAAAAAAATGTCTTATAAATCCTCAAATTGTAAAGAGACATGAAGAGGAAGTATAGTACTTTGTTAGACACTTTCTTTTTCTTCCAAAAATTAAGAAGCATCTTTTCTCCAAAAAAAAAAAAACATTATGTACTTTTCATGGCCCATGTTTCAGAGTTTATTCCTAAGTAAAATCCATCATACACTATCAAATTTATACCTCACTGTTTTCAATATCACACATTTTAAGAAAATCTCTCAATTAATTTTGACAAAAAAAAAGAAAAGTGAGGGTTAAGGGATCATAAATAATTTATTAAATATTCAATTTGTTCTTCTTTTTAGTGTCTCTTTTTGTTTTTGTAGAAAGAAAAGACATAGTTTTGTCTCTAGTTAGCTATATACTTAATTAATTGTTGGTCAGATGTATAAGATTTCAATCTGGGACAATACTGAATACTAATCATATGCCATGATCTTTAATTAATTAATTAACATAGTAAAGTTCCAACATTAAAATACTTAAAAACAACAACCCCCACTACATAAATTAATATTTTGATCACCATGCATTAATTAGTGCAGAATCCAATGTAGAAACCTAATTTAGTAGTATGTCATATAAAGATTAGACAAATCATCATGATGTTAATTAATTTAATTTTTTATTTAATTAATTTAATTTTTTGTAAAAATTACAGGCGCAACATCAGGGATTGGAGCAGAAACAGCAAGAGTATTAGCAAAAAGGGGTGTAAGAATAGTGTTACCAGCAAGAGACTTAAAAAAAGCAGAAATTTTGAAGGAATTTATACAAAAAGAAACTCCAATGGCTCAAATTATATTGTTAGAAATTGATTTGAGTTCATTTGCTTCAATTCAGAGATTTTCTGCTGAGTTTTTGTCTTTACAACTTCCACTTCACATCCTCATGTATGTATTTTATTTTATTTTTTTTTCTAAAAAAAATTTAAAAAAATATTTTGACTGATGATTGGTTTGAATTTTTGTCATATAGAAATAATGCAGGGAAATTTTCACAGAAATTGGAGTTTTCTGAAGACAAAATTGAGATGACTTTTGCTACAAACTACTTAGGTAATTATCTCTAGCTACCCATACTTTGGGACCATATATATATATATATATTCTTTATGAGTTCACTTAAAATTTGTTTCATATTAGGGCGTTCCGAAAGATAATTATATATGCATAACGAAAATTAACAAGGAAAAAGAAATAATTTTTCTATTAGAAACAAACTCTCTTGAAAAATAATACAAGTTACATGTATAATTGGATATTATAAAAGTTCTTTTACTGTGATTTTTTTAAAACATAGTATAGATATCTATGAAAATAGTTACTAAAATGTCAAGTAAATATCAAAGTTTGAGAAAGTAGTAATCTGAATCTTAAAAGACTAAAATCTATTAAATTCTGAATTCGACTCTGATACATATATTATTTGGCAGGTCATTTTCTATTGACAGAGTTGTTATTAGAGAAAATGGTGGAGACAGCAGAAGGGTGTGGGATTGAAGGAAGAATAGTGAATGTTACTTCAGTAGTTCATAATTGGGTGAAAAGAGATCAATTCCGTTTCTCCCAATTGCTCAATCCTAAAAAATAGTAAGTATAGTATAATAATAATCGTCCTAACATTTTAACTAGCAAATATTTAATCTGAGACAATTCTGATGAGATTATATTGAATAGTTTATTGTTATTATACGAGATTGATCATTACTTACTCTAATTTAGTATATAACGTGTTCCACACAGTTATAATGGTACTCGTGCATATGCTCAATCAAAATTAGCCAACATTTTACACGCAAAGGAATTGTCAAGACAACTAAAGGTAACTAATTAATTCCCTCATTCCACCTTTATTTTAAGAGCTTTCATTTGTATGGATTTAATTTCTTTATTTCCATCACGATAGATAAGACTGTAAATTAATGAATTTCTTTTATAACGTAATAATAGCTAGGTTTTCTATTCATCTACCATGAATATATGTGGAGGACGATACAATAAACAAGGCAAAATAATAATTTATTTAGACATCTGAATCAAGATATGTACCTATGAAGTGTTTTGATCTGACTTGGAATAGGTATAACCTTTAATCTAGGCGTGTATGAAAAATTCCGACTAATTAAATCTAGAGGGAAGCTTATCTGTTATATCAAAATATAAGATTAATATGTTCAATTAGTTAAGCAATCAAAACATAATCAGTGTAAAAAGTGGTTAGCCTTCTAGTGAAGCAATCAAAACATAGTCAATTCACCAATAATTTTTTGTTGTTGTGGTAATTAAGCAAATCTAATCATGTAAATTGGATTTTAATTTGTACTAAGGTGTTTTTCTTACCACTCAATTATATCATTTGATTAGACAACTCACTGATAAAATTCTATGACAAAACTCAAAGACATGTAAGAAACTAGGGAATTGGATTTAGAATCATGCCAGCTTTTATTTGCACTATTAGTGCTGTACACAAAATGATATTACTTCTTTTTCCTTCATTGGTCACTATATATATATATATATATATATTTTCCAATAAATAAATTGTTTTTTTGTCTTTATATATTTGTATATATAGTTGCAAATTGCAATACTGAAATTATAATTATTTGGTGTTGAACAGGCAAGAAATGCAAATGTAACTATCAATGCAGTCCATCCTGGAATTGTAAAAACTGGAATTATCAGAGATCACAAAGGCTTTATCACTGGTAATTATGCCTTTTTCCCTTTTTCTATTTGTTTGGTACGACAAAAAATATTTTTTAATTTTTCTCATACTCAAAAAAATACTAATGGTCTTTCCACCAGCTCCACACACCCCACTCGCCAAAAGTTTGTTAACTTGTCATGTTAAGAAATTCTTTACTTACTTATCGAACATCAGAAAAATTACTATACCAAACGTCGATAGCTATATTTACTGACTTACATTTTACAAAATCATAAACAGATTCTCTCTATTTTATGGCATCAAAGCTTCTAAAGTCAACATCACAGGTTTGTCCACATATACTTGTCTCTTTTTACTCTATTGAATATTATCCTTTACCATTACATTTCCCATTATTCCACTACCCTCCATAATAACCAACAAAAATCGGAAAAAAAAATTATTTATTTTTAGAAAAAAAACAATAATGAGGTCAATTTTTGTTTTATTTTTGGGTATGGCAGGGTGCAGCAAGCACATGTTATGTAGCATTGAGCCCACAAACAGAAGGGATGAGTGGGAAATACTTTGCAGACTGTAATGAAAGTCACTCTTCAGTTTTAGCAAATGATGAAATTGAAGCTCATAAACTTTGGAAGGGTACTCGTGTTCTTATCCATAGAAGATTTCTTCCACATGTAAATTCATAAACCAAAAAAAAAAAAAGATTAGTTTTTGTACATGTTAAATTAATAAAAATAGATATACTTTGTTGTATATCCATATAATATATGATGATAGATGAAAATATGATACAAGTATAGTAGTTTGTCCAATTGTTAGCCAACTGATGGAGTACAAATGTTAAGTGGAAATAATGAAGAATCTTCTTTTAGTGGTCCATTATATATTGGTCTATATGCGTTACGACACGATTTTGCCTTTTTTTTAGTTGGCACTTTTTTGCAGAATATCCAACATACTCTACCACAAATCTCCCCCGTAGCGAGAATCGTTTGGTACGCGAGATATTTCAAGATTAAATTTGGATGATATAAATTTATCATGTGTTCGTTATCTCATCCTTTATCATTAAGAGATTATTTGATATATATACTTTGTGTATTAGTAATCTCTTCTGTGGTACACGTTTTCATACTATGTACACTCTATCGTGTATTACTAATATCATGATTTCTAGATATTATCGTATTAATAATGCAAAAGGATTTAATACATACATTAACATGGTTAAAGACCCAATTACCCCTAGAAAACACTTTTACTACATCTTTTCCACCCACAATTGTGAAGGATACTTTTGTAAGTAATGTTTTTATACAACAACTACTGCTTTTAATACATCAAATCAATTAATACATAAAAAATAATTCATGCATAACTAATACAAGCATTACTTATACACTACCCTGAATAAATTAGCCCAAAGATTATAATCTTACGGCTATAATTATGTAATAATTCAGTCCATGAACCAAACGATCAACGCATACAAGGGGATCAAATTCATCACCTTTCGTTCGCATGTGCAATAAGACAATCTATATTTATTTGGATACAGAGTTTAAAGACGAAAATTCTTGAAGCATGTGATCTGAAATAAGTTGAACATTGCAATATACAGCAATCCCAAATTGATACTAAAGAGAAAATTTACACATACCACCAAAAAGCAAAAACCAGAATAGAAGTGTTGGCAGCACACCTGTAAAAACTGTTCCACAGAGCATAAGCTCAGATGAATTGAGTATATCATATTCCAAAGCCGCACCAAAACAAGCCTGGTGAAATAAGAGATCAACGGAATGCAAAAAGAATGCAGAATCGAAGTGATCTATATTCTACATTACAAACATTTGATGATACATTACAATGTACAAAAAGGAAAAGAATCTGTCTTTTGAGGAGAAAAAAATAAGTGGAAACATATATAGCTACAAAGATAGAAAATGACTAACTCGAAAGTCATAAGATGGATCATAGAGAAAAGTCAACAGAGCTTGGACATAAGAAATGAAGTCAGCCACCTGAGCCGTTTCGCAAAGACAGCAAGGCTTTGAACATTTGATCAGGTAGACATTAGACTTGCCGGTTACTGACCCTAACCTTTATGTAGAAGAAAATCAGGTTTTTGCTTATCATGACGCGAGAACTTGACGGCTAAGCAACTTCAAACGAAACTGTGCGATCATTATCATCTTTTGACCTGCCAAAAAGTAAATTTTGCACATTAGAAACCCATGCAGTTTGAGCTGCTTGCTCAAAATTAATCCTAATTCAATTTATGCAATGATTGTTGAAATGAAGATACTGCACACCAGGTATTTCCTGCCAAAAGAACACATTCACATGAAAGTATAATGATGGCATTGTTCATGAACAGTCTCGTTCAGAAAATTCAGTCATCCAAAGTTGTAAATTAGAGAATCTTTCCATATAAATGCCCTCTGCCAGTATGTTAGGTCCTTTCTGAGGGGCACACTGATATCATCTCAGGCATATGCATGTATGTTGGTCCATAGATGTGTCTATCCAGACACGACAGTGAGAAAAGGTTATCAAGTACAAATGCTTGTGAACCTTTTAAACAGCCCAGTACATAGACCAAGGGGATATAATCAGTCTCAATTATATGTTCATGTTAACCGTGAGTTTTTCTTGTTTCACTTGGTATCATCAAACAATACTTAGCATGTCAATGAGGGATTAAACATTTCTACATGGTAACATAGGAATTAAGGAAAGAATGCATTTGACAATATGCTTGAGCCTGAAATGTGAAGCCAATAACATTCCCCCAGAATTGCTTATCAAATTTTCTATACGTCCCCCCTCTCTCTCCCCCCCCCCCCCACCTCAGACAGTTTATGATAAAATTCCTATTCCAACTTTTATTATGCAACATCAGTATCCCACAATTCACTTTCATCAGGAGTGTTAACTTTGACTCATAAAAATGGTAACAATGTCCCACCCACACGTCAATAGTTTGGATGAGTAGTATTTACGAGTTCAATTGGTATAGCTCTAATCAACCCATCCAAGAGATTGGATCGACTTGCATAAAATTACTAGCAAATTTTACCCAAATTAACCTGTAAGAGAAATTTGTTGCACATAAAAAGAGGGAAAAAGCAGAAAACTAGTCTTTACCGTAGGGCAATATCACTTTCTTGTACAGTAACTCTTTTGTTATGAACTCAATTTGGATAGCAACAGATTAGAAAAAAAAACAAAAAAACAGAGAAGAGGTTTTGAGTTGAGTGGGTTGGCGTATGTCCCATTGATCTACCTATCTTGACCCAAGAGTATTTGCGACTGGTTGGGTCAATCACATGTTCTTTGACTCAACACATTGTAACCCATCAGAACTTGACCAAACATTTTCTCCTCCATTTGACACCCCTAATTGATCATATATGCTAACTGGATTCCTTCCAAAACATGTGCATTAAATTATTTCACCCCTATAGCAAGAGAATGGGAACTAAAGCAGAAATTTCATCTCCGATCGGAGGCTAAATTACTCGAGCAAAGTTTCTATCAGCAGCAAGTCTCAAAGATATTAAGAATATTAGAGAGAACACTCGGGGGAAATCATTACTGGCATTCAACGCAAACATTTCTAAGAAATATAGTGTATGTATAAAGAAAAAAGAAAGGAACACAGAAATCAGTTAGAGCTTATTGTCCTTGAACAAGTTATCAAAATTAATCCTACCTTAAAACGAGGAGAACGTCGGAGAGATGATGCAGATCCAGGAGATAGGAGTGCTGCCCTACTCCCTTTGGCACGGTCAACTTTCTTCAAATTTCTGTTATGTTCATCAGATTGATGCTCCTGCTGGGATAAAAACTCACTTCTACTATCAGTTGAAATGGAAGAAACTGGGGCAGACACAGAGATCATGAAAGTGTCTTGATCACGAGATGCCATGTCAGGAAATGTCCCTGAATGCATAGGAAACATAAACATATTCAGAACCATCATAGACATCCCCAATATATTTATTAATCAACTTAACTTTCAAGAGTATATTTATGCACTTATTCATGATCTTGGTTTAAATATAAATTAATCGATCCTGTAGGAAATCCAGGTTACAACAATAAATCTAGTTTCCAAATTGTGAAACGTTTAGTTACTTGAATGCATTAACAAAATCATTTTCTAATTTCTACTAATGATTCGAACAAAAATCCATTTTCGGGTGCAACAAGAGTTTGTATTCTGAAATGATATCAGAGGGATTTGCATTTATTGTGGAGATTCTTTGCAAGACAGTACTCAAGAAGCTTGCTAGCAGCCAATACTCTATGATTTCAAATTAGCTGTATATGGGTCTGATATAAGTAAATAAGGCTCAGAGGATAACATAACATTAGAAATGAAATACAGGGCATACCATGTGTTACGGCTGCTTGAAACTTTTCTCTCATAGTCCTGACGAACTTGAACAGTCCATTGCTTCTATTTAACTCTCTGAGCAGCTCTTTTGCATCATTAAGTTGTGGATCACATTCAATCACTAAAAATCCAAGCCAAATAAGAATTAAAGTACAGAACCATTTTCACTGATGTATAGTTGATAACGGTTCCAGACTTACAAGTATATACATCATTCTCATGACGTATGGTAAAAAAGTACTCCTTATCCTGATTATTGGCATCAATATTGGTAAATACGAATTTCACTCCTGTGGAAGACAAAGGAAATGAATGCTCAGTGGACAAATCTAACAATAGAAGAAAGTTGTTTTCTTTTACTGGAAAAATCCATTATTAATAAGTAGAGCCTGTGGCGGGGTTATATTGTTCAGAAAGCGGAGTCTGCTTCTCTAGAATCTTAAATGAGTACAGAAGTTGAAGGATATACATACCATGGCCACATTCAATACGTAATCCAAGCACCTTATTGTACCACACAATAGCCTCTTCTATTTCCTCTCTCTGTTCAGCAGTCTGATTATGCTTTTCTTCACATGCTTTGAGTTCTTTCCCAAACAAACAAAAGAAGAAGATGAAGAAATGCACCGATCAATTACCCAACAGGATATGGTGTCCGAGGTAGAAACAGCAGAAACAGTCACAAAGTTATCAACATAAAAAAGCACCAACATTATTCACAAAAAATAACAGCTTTCACAATGAATTACAGGGGAGAGTTTGAAAAGGGGGCCACAAATTAAAAATAAATAAATAAAAAATTAAACTATCACATCCAACATACAACAGTAGTTTTCGAAGGAAGAACAGACGAAGAAACACTATTCCTCAATGCCATCTTCCTACCATATTAGGTGTCTCCTTTTTTTTTGGATGACTATAATCTCTCGATCATTTTCCAAAGCCAAAGTCGAGCGAGAATTAGGTGTCTTCATTTGACCAGGAAAAATCATTTAAACTAGCATTTCTATTTTACTACTGCATTAAACTGGACGTGAATCAACATATAAAGATAAACTACACTTCAGATGAATTTCAAATATAATTGGGTTTCACGTTACTTTAAATGCTCTGGAGGGTGTAAAGAAGAAAGATGGAAGTCCACAAACACCTCTAATCTGAGACAAGGCCAAGTGATAAGACTAGAGCCTAAGGTCATATAAACTTCTTGATAAATCTATTCTCTCTCTTCCCCTTCCGTAAAATCTGTCATATGAATTGGTTTGCATACCGTACAGAAACATTCGCGAACTAAGGATGTAGAAATAACTTTTAGGATATCTTTTGTCTTGAAATTTATTCACTAACATCACACAGAAGCAATAAATACTGCAATTGGATTCATGATCGTTAAACCAGTTGGATATAAAAATAAATCATTTCAGCAGTCATCTCATGCGATGACTAAATGAAATATTAGAAAATTGAAATTAAG